TCATTATCTAATTTGTAGAAAATAGAAACAGCATTTTAGCACAATATAATAATGTTTTTTCACCTTCAATTATAGATATTCAAGAAAGAGAAGTTATTGATTATCAAATAAATATGTACGTACGTACGTAATAGTACCAGTTATACTATATATATAGTATAAAAATAATACCAATACTGAAAGCGAAATTAGGTTATGGTTATTTTTTTGATATGGTTATATTATTATTTATATATAAATATCAAGAATACAAGTTATGAGTATGTAAATCATATATAATTTCATAATTCCGACATACAAAAGATATTTAAATTCTTTTTGAATTTTTAATATACGTAAAAAAATCAATTTATTGTTCTCAAATAAAGAATTTAAATTTTGGTTATCATATTTTTAGCCAAAGTAAATATTCAACAAAAGCAATATTTTTTTTTTGCTTAAAAAACTGTTACGTATATTCATACTACTTATATGCATATGTTAAATTGGGATGATTTTTTTTTTAACCGTTAACGTTAATGATAACGATAATTGAATCGCACAAGATTAATTATACAAGAAATGTGTAACAAATATAAATATTTTTTTTTAATTCATATATATCGATCATATCAAGCATAAACAAGTTTTTAATTTGAAAGATATCAGAAAGCATCACAAGAAAAAAACTTGAAGGAATGATAAATCATAATTATCCACACGATAATTTGGTTTTTTGGAAAAGCAAAAATGGCAATTACAACTATACAATCATAAATTTAGGTACACTTCTCTTAAAACCAAATCTTAAATATACACAGCTTCCGGGAGTATATTCTATTCCTAATAACTATAAAATAGAAGTTTTTTGGGATGTATAGAAAAAAATCATATTCAAGCTTCTATTGATTATGTTGAAAGAATTCCAAATTATACAATTGAATAGACAAACAATGAACAAAAATATATAATAATTTCACAAATTTCGTCTTCAGATGCAGCTAGCAAATATTCTAATGTAAGGTTATAGCCGCTTTATAATTCATTAACTTAATAAATTAGTAATAAATAATTTTTTAAGATACAATACCCAAGAAAAAAAACAGCATTTTCTGGAATTCTCGTTTTTGGATTACACCTATACGAAGAGCTAACTAAAGTTATACCAAAAAAGAATCATTCACGGTGTGTTAAACCTCTTAGTGATCTTGGCAATAATTCATATAGAGATAGAACTAAAAGGGTAGCTAAAAGTTTGTTTAATGATTTTGAAATAAAAAAAAAAAAATTTGGCATCCGACAGATAACTCTAAACTTAAAGAAATAGTATTGGAGGCGGGTGAACAACCATGGTTAGTAAAGTTTGATGAAAATCAACAATTAGAAAAAAAAAAGACACAAAAAATAGTTCAAGCAATGGACCAATTGAATATTTCACGAAAAGGATATAGAGCTCTTACAACTGCTTCACAAGATTTATCAAAAGAATAGCTAATTAGTAGTGAAAGACATAAGATTGATGAAATAATGCAAAAGCATATTCCATTGTTAGAATTTGACATGAAAACACAAATGCAAAGTGATGATTCAAGTGATTCAGATTGTGAAGAAACTAAAGATACATTAGAAAAGGGTGGTTACCATAATATATCTACAATTCTTCGATTTCTTATACCCAAACTTGTCGCAAACAAAGTTCTCAGTTATGAAACCCCTACAATATACTTGTGGGTCTCAGGTGACGGAAGAAATATTAGGAGAAAAATAAAGCACGTAATGGTGACATTAGCAGTTCTAAATGATCAAAAAAATATTTTGAAACCTGAAAGCCATTACACAATTTCTCTGTTCTCCAGAACAGAAAATTATACTTCTCTTAAGATTGCATTAAAACCAATTCGTCGCGAATTACATGAACTGTGTGAACATGGTCTTACTGATAATCATCATCAATGGGATATCAAAATTTTTTTTCATCGGATTGGAAGTTTTTGGCATTAATGTTAGGATTTAATACGGTGAATACATTTAACTTCTGTCCATGGTGTCTCTGTACGAAGGATTTAATAGGCGATTTAAGTCAAACTTGGATGATATCAAAAGAAATGGATAAAATTAAAGAAAATTACTAATGTTACCCGGGTTATATTCATTCACCTATATTAGACATGATTTCTATAACTAATTACGTAGTAGATCAACTTTATTTAATGTTACGAATAACTGATCATTTGTGAGAATTGGCTTTAAATGAATGTAAAAATAATGGACACTTTGTAGACAAGATGAGAGAATTGATATGTGAAAAGATGAGTGTTATTGAGGTAAAGTTCAATTTCTGGTTAGATAAAGATACAAAACTATGGAAATTTACTTCTTTATTTTTTTATTTTTTATTTTTTTT